AATGAAGGATGGTTATTTTTCAGATTGGTTATTCCAGACCCGCAATCAACGGTAATTTTGAGAATATTTCCTACACCTACAACAGTAGCTCATACTAAGAACAATACCAACAGTCAGAAATGTACCACAGATGTGTGTGTTACTAGTCTCTGTGTACCCCAAAGAACAAAAAAAACTAAGTAACTAGATAGATAGATAGATAGATAGATAGATAGATAGATAGATAGATAGATAAAAATGAAAAAAATGTATTTTCTAAGCACATAGATAGATGTTAGTGTGGGAACATTTTCTTTCATGATATTATGGATGTCACACTTGTAAGAACATTTCAGGTTTCCAAAATTTTAGATGGCAGGCAGTTACCTTCCCACCACTGAGACCCCTACGGTAGTTGCTGCTCACTGATTTAAAACCAGCATGCAGAAAAACAACGCTGCTGTTCCTCATTTTGCGGATACGATAGACTGTCGCCTACGTGTATGAGTAAGTCCTATAACAAACGTGATTTTTGCACGCGTGAGAAATACGGGAAAAAGAAAATGAGACATTACGTCGTATAATTGTGGTATGAGTGATTTGGATGCGAAAAAAAAGACACTATAGTGTGTGACTTCAGTATGCCAGTAACAGCAGTGCTGTTCTCCCACTGTCTTTTTTTTATAAATAAATGCCACATCTAGCCGTACTTCGACAGACACGTAAAGGACCGCTAAAAATCTCAAGTATGCTACTAAGCGCAGTTACGATTTTTACCGTAATTTAATTAATAAATTAATGCTTACCGTACTTTCTCCTTGAATATTATCCTCCAGAGTACTTTATAATTGCACCTAATACTTCCAAAAGGGGAGAACTTGAACTTGTGAACCTGGTGTGTGGAAACTCTCAGGGCGCAATAACAGCCCAGTCTGGGTTCAGGTTAACTCGCAAGAATATTGCACCTAATAGCAACAACCATGTGGACTGCACGAAAGATGGGGAGCGACCGATGAACCATTATCTAAGCGAAATGAAACTTAGCTCGTGAATTAAACATGAGGGCTTCGCTCCAGCTGTCCAATCGGTGAGCCGAAAATGAAAAGGGGCGGGCTATACCGCAAAACGGGCTGGAAGCGCGCTGCGTTTACTGCTTCACTACGCCCACCGCTATTCCGATAAGCGCTCGCCTCCCTCCGAAAGATGCGCCATTCGCCCTGCTGCGGCTTGCGCGGCCGAGGGAGGAATACGCAGTATTAGAACGGAAAAGTGGGCTGGAAATCAACAGTATTACCGGCAGCCTTGACGTCAGTTTCAGTTAACTAAAATAAATGTGAAGTGCCCCAATGTCTCCCAGTTACTCTCAAATAAATTGGCAAGCATCAAGGAAGAGACGAACTGAAAGAAGCAGCTTTTCTGTTGTTTTGGTTTTTTTTTTCTTCCAAATTTCAGTCTTTATTTATTGTATCGGCCTTTGCTGTTTGGGACTCAGTCTTAATTTACTCGTCTGTCGTCATGTGTTTCCAAATGGTTTTTTAAAGGGATTGACAGTTTAGTACGTTGTGTAATCGGCATATATTTGTAATAAGTAACTTGGGTTGTTTGCTTTATCACCCCCTCCAATATAAAGTGAATGTGTTGCAAATTGTCCGCACGTGTGAATAATCTCCAGAACCCCCGCTGCAAGCATTATAAGAAGATGAATCAGTCACATTACTTGGATATCAGCTTTGCGAACCATAAGTGGAGTTCCCTAAATTGTGCGTTGTGTTCCTGTGACATTAACAATTATTCATTCGTTGTGCATATGAATAAAACCGATGAATTGTGCAATTTTACGTATTTATGCAATTTATGTATTTACCAGTTTTCAATTCTCATTCATATTAATTAATAGAGGAGCCAAAAATAATCAGTGACCCAGCAGTGAATCAGGTGGGCCAGTCCCAAAGGAAATCACACTACAGACTCAGCTACATTTTTTTAAAATCAGTTTTTAAATGACCCGTGGCGTTACCTAGACCAAATGAACAAAGAGAAAGACCTCTCCACAACACATTTCTTCCAGTTGATCTAACCACGCACACACATAGCCTACCTGCCAGATGAAATCGTTTAATCGTGCTGTATCGTTGTTAATGTTGAATGGATGGGCGATCTAAATGCGATCTGGGTGGATCTAGGCCCACCCAATCCACCACAATAGATGTTTCTACTTCATAAATGTAGAACTGAATCTTGCACGGATTGTATTGAGATGTTCTTTCTCATATCAGTTTAGTTTTTTAAGTATATTTTAAGTATTTTACTTTATATCATAAAACTTTATGTACATTTTAAAAGCAGATTATTTTCAGTAAATATACAGGTGTACTACCTGACTGTCAGTTGCTTTTGTTTTAATTTTCATAAAGCGCACAATTCTGTTCAGAAAACTGTTTCAATGTAGCATAAAGTAGATCAATGGAAACCCAGATAAAAGAAAAGCCGTTTCACTTGGAAAATATAGTGTGGCTTTTGGAAATGTTGTTGTCAGCACATTTAGACTTTCTCTTGGTTTAAGGGGGAATTCCACTAAAATCTGATGATTTCAAACATTTTGGTCGTGTGCACTATACACTATACGGGGGGTTGTTATGGACAGACTGTGCAGGGTTTGACTTTAGCTTAATGCATGTGGAGTTCACAGGTCCTGCTCTTCATTCTTCTTGTCGATTGCTTACAGATTACCGTTGTTTCCTCATGCTGACCAAAGACATGTTTTGCATGACTTCTTCCTAAAACGTATATGGCTTCATATATTATCATTCTTGGCTCCTGGACTTGCTGTTGTCCTGCAGTGCATATAGTAGATAGTAGCTATAGATGTACACACATACTCACCTGTATTCTAAAGCCTTTTTGGCTAAATTATAAACTAGTGAGATAAATGGCACAATGGCAGCCCACTGCAGGGCACACACGCTGTGGGCAATTTAGCGATGCCATTTAGCCTAGCAGCATGTTTTGGAATATTGGAAGGAAACTTAAGAAGCCAGATGAAGCAACGTTGGGAGTGAAACTGGGATTCAAACCCTCAGTGCTACTGGCAGTGGCCGCCGACTTATGTGTATATGGTTCAGACATGAAAACATAAAGGTAATAAAGCAAATCAAAGCACACTACTGCTTACAGGCAGATGTAACATATCACAGCGTAAATATCACCAGCTGCACTGGTATCTATAGCATGAGTTCCTGACTGGTAAAACGAAGGTGCAATTAGCAAATTATGCTTTGATATTGGCATGTGCAGTTAGCACCCCATCCTGAATTGTTCCCTGCCTTGAGCCAGTAGCTTCTGGGAGAGGCGCCAGACCCCCCCCCCCACACACACAACCCTGAATAGGACAGGCAGGTACAGAATATGGATGGATGGATCGATGGATGTATATTTTGTGATGCTATTTATATGTGTGCTTTCTTTCAGATCTCTGATGAGAAGGATGATTGAAAACTAAATATAACATATAACACTCAAAAGCCACAGCGACTTTATTTTTTTAAAAACTGGTTTTTAATATGTTTTTCAAATAATATGTATTAAAGCCTATTCACTCTTGAACTGAAACTCTTGCAATTCAGCATAATTTGCCCCTTTTCATGATGATTGTGATAAATTTGCACACTGCATGACAGACTTTCACACTATACATTACTATTACATTTACTAAGACAAAATATGGAGAAAGTTCCAGAGGTGGAAAGTTCAGGTTCAGAAAGTAGAAGTCCAGACCAAGATTTTGTTTCAACCAACCAGCTGAGCATAAACGATCTGGTTGAAGCAAAATCTTGGTCTGGATTTGTACTTTCTGAACCTGAACTTTCCCAATCTGGAACTTTATCCGTATTTTATCTTAGTAAGTAATGCACTGAGTATGGCAGTTCAGGTTCCACAAAGGATCGCTTTTATAGGCAAAATATATGGAATGTGTTCTATGATTGTGATCAGACATAGTAGTAATGGTTTGAACATGATAAATTCTAAATGAGAAATGGTGTAATGAGATGGCAATGATTTACAGAAAAATACTCTATGCACAGTAACTCAGCAGGTACTGTAGCACTGTGGCTTGATACCATCAGGAGTGTGTGTGTGTGTGGCCTGTAATGGGCTGGAATAGTATAAGTGAGTGTACCCTTGTTTTGTTCTGTGGTCTGCCTGGGTAGGCTCCAGCTGTGTCTGTTTTCTGGATTAACCTCCTGAGACCCAAGGAAAAAAGTGTCCTTCAGTTTTAGGTTAATTGTGATTTTCTATGTCTTTGGAGGAAATAAGACATCTTTTTTCAAATTTATTTTTATTTTTAATTTCACAGCATGTCCTCTTTAGTGTACAACCGCAATAAATATGTTTCCTTACATCAGTGAAAAGATAGATGCAAAAACAAAATGTCCACTACAATGGACATAAATGAATGGGTGGGGTCTCAGGAGGATAATTAACAGCCATGAAGCACAACGTCTCTTTGACATGTGGAAGATAATCTGGTGAAGAACAAATGAATGCGATATACCAAGATGGAAACTTTTGAGAATAAGATGAAGGAAATCATAAGCCTCAATGGACTGCAGCATTGTAGAAGGAATATATACGGAATACTCAATGTCACTGTAAGACTGGGCGGGTGGGAATTGTGGGTGTCCTACAGCAGAATGAATTCAGGCTACAAGCCCTTTCTCTCACTTCTCCCTTTTGATCACAAACACTAAAGAAGCAATACTCATGGAATAGTCATTGTCACAAAGAGTATAGAAGGAATACTCATTGAATACTCAGTATCATATTCCCTAAAGAAGAAATATTCATTGTCATAAACAGTAAAGAAGGAATACTTATGGAATATTCAGTGTCACGAACAGAGAAGGAATACTCATTGAATACTCAGTATCATACTCCCTAAAGAAGAAACGGTGATTTGTAGAAACACTACAGAATGAATACTTGAACCAGCTAGCCATACCATTGACAGACACATTCAGACAGTGGAAGTATAATTTGAGTTGCTTTTATTAAAATATCAGTTATTAGGCAGTGTGTGCTCATTGGGGTACAATCTCCCATCATCTGCTACATAATTTTCAGATAATACACTACTCAGTATGATGGGCAGAATTAATGTGTTTTGTTCCCTCTGGGATCAAAGTTTCCAAAATGAACAAAGAATGGACATGCATATATTTGTTACATATTATATCTTTAAAATTTCCTGATTTGAGGGATTGCATTTCTGTTTGCAGTGCATCTAGAAGTTAGGCTTGTTTTATGGTTGTTGGATAGATGATCATTATCGATTATAATTTATTAACCTTAGTCCAAATCCGGTAAATATATAGTTTAGATCAGGGGTCTCAAACTCCAGTCCTGGGGGGCCGGAGCCCTGTGTAGCTTAGTTCTTTCCCTGTTCCACCACAAATGATTCAGTTCAAGAGCTGTGTGGTAATTAGCACAAGGAGCTGAATCAGGTGTGTTAAACTAGGGGAAACCAAAAACTGTGTAGGGCTCCGGCCCCTCAGGACTGGAGTTTGAGACCCCTGGCTTAGATAAATGTATTGCTTGATTAATTACTTAATTTCTCAATTGTGAATTTACTTGCACATATGGGAAACTAAGGCTTCTGGTCTTTGTAAATGGGTAGATGACTAAACAGAACTCCCCAAAAGATTTCTGCTAGTTATAATGAAATAAGTAATTTTATCTATGAAGTAATTTTAAAGAATCATTAAAAAGTACTTGCTACTTGTTATCTATATCATATAAAATAAAAATATCCTTTATGTACTTTATAGGAAGTGTTGCAATGAGACAACCCCCCCCCTCCCACACACACACACAGCTGTTTTGTATGTGGTGTCTTTGCCAGGAAACACTTTATATGATTCAATCCTATTGATTTCCCTCCCAACTTCCCGTCAATGACAGGACGAGGAACTGAAATATTAAAAAAAGCATGTGTTGTTGGAATTTACAAGAAGCCAAGTGAGGTTAGGGTTACTGAGCGAATGATAAGGTGATAGTGTTCTTTAAAGCTTACGTCCGTTCTCACGGGATACAGCTACAGTGCACATGAGACGCTGGATGAGGCCCCACATCTGAACCCGAAAGTTTTTTCTCTTACTGTATATCTCGCTTGTCTCTCATAATTCCATTTCTGCTGTTGTGTGACAAACATACAGCTGCCCAGTACAGTCCATTCTCCGTATGCATACACAGTAAAGTGCAGCGTATACTCTGAAGGTTCATTAAAAGCTGCCTGTGTTGATTATGTATTGATTGATTATACAAGTAAACACTTGGTAGAAATAAAATCTATGTTTTGATATGCTACAGCAGAGCTTTTTGGGCCTGGGACACAAAATAATCACACACTTGTAATTATGTTGCATTATTTTGGCGCAAAAAAATCTCTTGTGGTTGACACTAATAATGTAAACCATATTTATTTTTTTAAGTGTGTTTAATGAAACAACACTAACTGCAGTTTTGTGGTATTTTTTTAATGTTTGGACAAAGAATTCGATAGAGAAAACAAGAAATAATATGTAAACATTTAAATTTGTGACTGGCTATTTAACATCTTGTGGTATCATTAATCTTTAAAAACCCAATTTGCAATTTTGTTTTTTTTCTAAAGGCGTTTCCATAAGATACTCCCATCTCCTTGAAGCTACAAAAAGCATCTCATCTCCACCTAGGCAATTAATCTTCATTGTATATCCACCACATGGTCACATGATCATATGCACTCATAGTAAACACACCAGCAGGGTAAAAAAAAAAAGGATCTCAATGACTCCATTTTCACTTCTTCGTCCTGTATGTAATGTAGTATGTCATCAACGGTACACAAATTAGTGCCCATTTTCCCCAAGTACCTCTCAATGGAAAAAACAGGCATTTCATAGGAGAACTGATGAAGCAGTAAATACTTCATGACTGAATTTCATTCATAATAATTTAATTGTGCTTTTAATTAGCAAATAGTCAATAAAATAAATATTGCTGACTAACTAAACCAGGAGAATTTATTCCGTATTTCCCTTATTCACGCACAATAATCTTATTGGGCTTATAGAATTCCCAAACTACAATATACCAACATACCTCCATATATTCCCCTTTAAAGTATGACACAAACAACAGCAGAAAGATAAGTATGATCAAGATACCCCCCAACCCCCCCCCC